CTCTGGACACCCACATGGCCAACCATGGTTCGGGTCCCAGACCTGGCAGCTTGCTTTCTCACTTTCTCTCTCTCTGGTCAAATTGAAATAAAAAAATAAATGCATAAAGTTAAATAATTTTTTTTTTTTGGGGGGAGAGGTTTTTGCTATAGTGCGTGTGTGCTCGCCAGACAACACAGAGACAGACAGATAGAAAGCGAGAAATCACCCCCCAGAGGGGATGGCCACGCCGCAATCCCTTCTCCTCCATTCTCCTCTCAGGATCTTGGGAATGCACGCACACGCGCCCAGCGTGAGTTTAAGCCACTGGGTCCGGGACTCGAACCGCGGTCGACTATGTGGGAGTCCAGTGACATAGCCATTATGCTAACTGCTGGTCCCAAATTCTTTTTGTAAAGAAAAAAGGAAAGAAAGAAAAGACAGACAGACAGACATGCTGTGTATGTGCCCAAATCCGAGAGAAGGGACTGAGCCAAGCCTATATCCCCTGGGGAGGGTGATCTCTCTCTCCAGCAAGCACAAACAAAGATGACCTGGTTACATCTCAAGAAGACAGGCCTGTGTATGACTGCATCTGCAAACCTGGAACCTCATCAGGTGCCTTGGTCCCGTGAGAAACTTGAAGGGATTTACTCACCTTGAATGTAACACAACAAAGCGGAAGCCAGATGAATCCAGCCACCAGAACAGACACCAAGGAGGACCTCAGGGAGATCCACCCAAAACGCCTCACCTCTTCCCCTAAGTCCAAGTGCACCAAGCCAATCACCCTTCTAATGACCCAATTCTTGCTTCTAGGCATTGAGATCAGGCCAGGGTCAGGGAGAGGGGCGTCCTGAAGAGCTGGCATGGATGTCCTGGCTAATGGGAAGATCTATCTATCATAAATTAACAAATTGTCATTCTGGATTATACACGAACTACTTCAGCCCCCAACCCTTCAACTAAACAGTTCTTACTCTCAGAAGTTAGACTCCTGGGGCTGGCAGGTGGTGTAGCAGTTAGGGCACTGGACTCCCACATGACCAACTGCTGTTCAAATCAAGGACCTAGAGGCTTGGTTTCTCACATTACCTTCCCCCATAAATAATTTTTTTTTAAGAAAAAGATTTTTGCTATAAGATGCATGTGATCACCAGAGAGAGTGACAGACAGCGAAAAATCACCCCCCAGGGGGGATGGCCACACCACAATCCCTTCTCCATTCTCCTGTCAGGATTTTGGGCACGCAAGAATATGCACCTGGCATGAGGGTTTTTTTTTTTGCAAGAATATGCACCTGGCATGAGGGTTTTTTGTAATATTTAATTTTACTTGTTATTATTATTTATCTTTTAATTTGACCAGAGGAAGACAGAGCAAGTGAGAGTGAGAAAGCAAACCAGATCCAGGACTTGAACCATGGTCAGCCATGTGAGAGTCTAGTGCCTTAGCCACCATGCCACCTACAGCCCCTCCCCTCCCCACACCAAAGTGAGTTTTAAACTGCCAGGTCTGGGACTTGAATCAGGGTTGACAATGTGGGAGTCCAATAACCTAACCATTAGGCCATCTCCTGGTCCATTTTTCTTTTTTTAAGAGAGATTTTTGCTATAGGGCACATGCACTCACCAGAGACAATTCTTAAAAAAGAGAGAGAGACTGTCTGTCTGGCGAGCGCACGCGCCCTACAGTGAAAATCTCTCTCAAAAAAAAAAAGAGAGAGAGAGAGAGTAGTTAGACTCCTGAAGGGGTAGCCAAGCAGGAACCCAGTTCTCTTTCAGGTATAGTTCCTGAGGTCACAGAACAAAAAGCCTGCTACAGGGACCAGCAGTTAGCGTAATGGCTCTGTCACTGGACTCCCACGTAGTCAACCGCGGTTCGAGTCCCGGACCCGGTGGCTTAAACTCAGACCGGGCGCGTGTGCATGGAGAAGAGAATGGAAGAGAAGGGATTGCAGTGAGGCCATC